CTGGGCAGAGCCCTGTCTGCCACTACCCTGGGAGGCTTTGAGAGCAGCCACTTTGGTCTAGGTGGGAGTCTCTAGGGACAATCCAGGAGCCAGGGATGCTGTGGTGCACCCATGGGTGGGACCCTGAGGTTTCTGGGCCCATTCTGCAGTGGGTGGCCATTGGTGGATCACACCCCAGGGGGTTATGAGGGAGGCAGCAGATCCTACCAGTCCTTTGCCTTGCTGCCAGGTCAGCCCACGTCAGTAAAGCCTCATAGGCACGCAGCAGGTAGTGGGGAGCTTCTCCTTTCTCCTCTTGGGAAGGAGGTTGACCAGGTCATCTCAGCTCCCTCCCAGCCCTGAGGTTTTCAGACTGTTCTGTGAAGGCACACATGTGTATACCAACACAGATGACCCCTCATGTGTGCACAGCTCTCTATAGTTTATGAAAGAGCTCCAAGGCTGTCTCCTTTAGTTCTCATAACAGCTCTGGAGGTTGTGTAGATAGATGAGGAGACTGAGACTCAGAGGTGGCCCAGTTGAAAGTGAAGTCACTGCCGTGCACCGCAGTGAGTAATGTGGTATTAAGTCGTGTGTACAGGTCACCAGCCGGTCAGGGCTGCACTGTGACCAGTGCGGGGGATTTTCCTCCCAGGAAGACGCCAGCCAGCTTTGGAGCTGGGCCAGGCCCTGTGCTGGGTGCCGGAGATCTGAGAATGAGTCAGACTTGGCCCCTGTCCCCCAGGAGCTCCTCCCAGTGGGCAGGGAAGAGAGAACCATGCTGGGGTGCCAGGAGAAGGGGCTGCCCGACTGTTGGGGGGGGGGCCGGCAGGAGGTCCCTCAAAGCTGCTGCTCTCAGCTAGCCCCTGAGAGACAAGGGAAGGAGGCAGAGGGAGCCACATGTGCATGGGTGAGGTGGCTTGAAGTGGCATGGGTGTTTGATGGTTGTGGTAGATGGGACCCGAAGGAGGGAGTGTTTGAGGGATGAGGGTGAGAGCGGGGACTGCTGGGCCAGGTAGCTGGTATCCGTGGTGATGGGGAATTTCTACTGTAGACAGCGAGAGGGTAGGGAGCACAGCCTGATGGACTCCTTGCATCCATCCCTTCACTTTGACACTTGCCAGCCCATGGCTAGTCTTATTTCCTCTACACTTATTTCCTCTACACCTGCACTTTGCCCAGGCAGCATTTCATTTCATCCGTAAATATTTCCGGATGCATCTCTAAAAGATAAGGAATCAAAAAATAAAAATAAAAAAAACACATAATACTAACTTTTAAAATAATCCCTTAATATCATTAAATATCCAGTAATTGTTCTAATTTCTAATTTGTGCTATAAATATGCATAGGTTTTACAGTTTGTTTGAGTGAGATCCAAATAGAAGTCCATAACTGCAATTGGTTGATTGTTCTTTCATCTTTTATTTTTTCCTAGTAATTTATCTATCAAAGAAACGGGGCCGTTTGTCCTGTGGGGTTTCCCATGGTGTGGGTTTTGTTGACTGTGTCTTTATGGTGGTGTTTAACATGTTCTCTGTCCCCTGCATTTCCTGTAACCTGGGACTTAGCTCTAGAAGCTTGATATGGTCTAGGAACAATTTTTTTCTTTTTTTGTCACAGCTGCATCATGAAAGATGTTGTATACTTCATTCAGGGGGCACATCATGGCTGGTTATCTTTCTTTTTTGTGATGTTAGAAACCATCAGTGACCACCGCCTAAATTCATTCATTCTTCAGTGGTCGTAAAATGCTGGTGGTCTAATATCATCATTCCTTTCTCGTTTATGAGCTGGAAATCTTTTCCAGTTCAAGACTTCCCTCCATCTACTATTTGGTTACCATGTGGTACAGTTTGTCTACAGAGACAGGATAAATTTCCTGTAATTTTCCAGTTTCAATAAAAAAAGACTTGATTCCCTACCCTCCTCTGATAGTGACTAATTGTTTTTTTAAGTACCATTCTGATCTCATGAATTTGAACATACTTGATGTGTTTTAATCCATTGCTGTTTTTGCCCTTATTGACGCTCAAATTAGCTCATCTTTGGCCAGCAGGAACCTCTTCAGGATGGTTCCTGAATCCTTTGACATGGCCCCAGGAGTCTGTGCTGGCTTCCTTGATTTCTGGCATGGTGTGGGAGGGTTTTTGGTTTTTGGTTTGGAGCACACCTGTCTGGACAGTCTCCCTCCTGCTCAGCATCCTGGCTGACAGCAGAGCAGTTGAGGGGTCAGAAGGCTGGCTTGGGGCCCATCCCGTGCCAAGTGCAGGGGCGGTGAAGCAGGAGGGGAAATGGAGGCCCTCGGGGATCCCAGACTCTGGATCTCCAGGCCCTGGAGCCTCATTAGCAGCTTCTTGAGCCACAGAGGGCTCAGAGCCAAGCCTCGAGTTTGACTAATGATCCTCCCGAGGTCCCAGCAGCTTGCGAGGGCTGCTCTTCCTCCCAGCCATGCAGTCCAGAGCATTCAGAACAGGGCAGGAGCAGAAGGAGGGGGTGAAGGCAGAGGGCCAGGCCCACGTTCTCAGCTTAGGACTCCCTGTCACTCTGTGTGCTTGGGCAGATCTTGCGTCTTTCTGGACCTCAGCCTTCCCATTTGTGCGGTGGGAATGGTAACCCTCACCCTGTATGGAACCGCCCTTTTTCTTTTGAGACAGAGTCTTGCTCTGTTGCCCAGCTCACTGCAACCTCCGCCTCCCGGGTTCAAGTGATTCTCATGACTCAGCCTCCTGAGTGGCTGGGATTACAGGCACACACCACCATGCCCAGCTAATTTTTGTATTCTTTTTTAGTAGAGACAGAGTTTTACCATGTTGGCCAGGCTGGTATTGAACTGGCCTCAAGTGATCCACCTGCCTTGGCCTCCCATGAGACCTATTTTTGATACAGCTCTCTGTCCAGAAAGCAAAGTGGGGAGAGTGCCAGGAGTCAGGGTGTTTTCACTTAGAAAGGGCACAGAGTTGACAGAAAAGTCAGGGTGAGGAGGTGGAGGAAAGGAACAGCCAGTGTTGAGCCCTTGCTGGGTTCCAGACAGTGGCCAGATTGGGAAGTCCTAGGTTTGAACCTTGCTTCCTTCACTCGTGCCTGAGGCCAGCCTTCTGCCAGCACCTTCCAGTAGTATCGCCTCAAAAGCCTGTCGTGAGGCTCAGGGGTGCTAGTGTGAGCAGCCTGGCCTTGTGCCTGGGACCCAGCAGGGCTCCATTAGGGCAGTAGTACCTCTCACTGCAGTTAGCATTTTCATTTTCTTGGTCTCACATGTCCCATTAGGGAGCATTTCCCTTTGCCAACATCCCTGTTGATGGTGAAAGATGTGCAAACAAAAGTGTCCTTAATGAGCGTGCAGTGGGGAGCAGCTTTTGGCTGAGGTCTGTACACTCAGGTGAGTGCCAGCCTCCTGGTGTACCTCTGGTTCCTCCGCCTGGGTGCCCCCCATACTTGGAGTGGTTTTCTTCTAGAAGGAGCTGCTTATGATCCCGATGGGGCTCAGCTCCACTTGGTCCCATGCCCAGCAGGGCCAGGGGTCATGCACCCTGACTTGACAGGGGCACTCCCTTCCCACATAGCCCCGCCTGCACCCTGTGTAGCCTGAGCACTTTGCCTGGGTGCCTCCCTCTCTCACCAGACTAGGAGCCTCTTGAGGGGAGGGGCCGTGTGATTCACCTGGTTGTCAGTGTCCAGCCTGGGGCTGGGTGCAGAGTGGTCCACAGTGCCAAGGAGCTCATTTTTCAGAGGCAGACAGATCTGGGTTTGAATCCTGGCTTCAAACCAAGGTTGGTCTGCCTCCAAAGCATGTGTGTATTTTCTAGCTGTGTGACCCTGGACGAGTTACATGCCCTGTCTGGGCCAGAGTATTGTCATCTGTGAAGTAGGACTGGATAATAGTCATCTACTCAGAGGTTATCGTGATAATTAGATGGAGATAATTCGTGGTAGTCACAGGCATTTCCCAGATGATTCATAAGTAATAAAATCAGTGTCTCAGTGTCCCCCATCAATGTCTCTGAATTCATTAATTCAGTCAATGCATGTTTACTAAACATACTCTCTGGGCCAGGCCCTGGGCTAGGTGCTGGGTGCATAGCAGTGACCGAGACCTATATGGCCCTGCCCCCAGAGAACTGACATTCCAGTGATAACATCAGACACTGAGCTCAAAGTCACACAGTTACTTAATTACAACTTGGTAAAGGTAAGTATCTCAGATGAGAGCTGCCAAGGGCCATGAGACTGAGATAGGGGTCCTGGCCTAATCTCAAAAGTCAGGGAGGGCTTCTTGGAGGAAGAGGATGGACACTAAAGGACAAATGGAAGTCTACTGGGTAAAGAGGAGGAAGAAGAACCTGGAGCAGTGAGCAGGGATGGGGGCTGCCATGGGGGAGGCAGAGAAATGAGGCTGGGGGAGTGCATTGAGAGTTTGGGTCTTATTTTCTAGGGAAGTGACAGGACTGGGTTGGTCTGTGTGGGGCGAGAGTAGATGTAACTGCAGACACTGTTACAGTGTCCCTGGGTGGGGAGATGGGGAATTGGGCCAAGGTGTTCCAGTAGGATGGAGAGGAGGAGATGGATGTCAGGAGGATGGAGGTGCTCAGATTGGCCTGATTTGATGGAGGGAGGGAAAGCGAAGTAGCCGGTGGGGCTGCAGCAAGGGGGACTGCCAGCATTGGGGTGGGCTGGATGGGTGGATGGTGGTGCTGGTCACTAGGCAGGAGCTGGTGGTAGATGTAGACAGAAGTCTCGGGGAAGGTTGCAGGGAGGCATGAGAAAGGGAAGCTCACACACTCTGAGAACAACACAGCTGGAAGGAGGCCCAGGGAGCCTCCACGCCCCGCGGAGATGGGAACCTGAGCCCGGAGATGGGGAGGATTCACTTGGGTCTCACGCAGGCTTGTGGCAGAGTCGGAACCTGAACCCAGTATTCCTTTCTGTTCTGATTCACGGGAAGCTCGCACCCCCGTTTCCTCAGGAAGCCAGCCATCCCCTCACTGTGTCCCCCCATCCTATCCCCTACTCCCCCCACCCAGGTCATCCCAGACTGGAAAGAGCAGGAATGGGACCCTGAAAAGCCCAACGCCTACGCGGGCATCTTCCACTTCCACTTCTGGCGCTTTGGGGAATGGGTGGACGTGGTCATCGATGACCGGCTGCCCACAGTCAACAACCAGCTCATCTACTGCCACTCCAACTCCCGCAATGAGTTCTGGTGTGCCCTGGTGGAGAAGGCCTATGCCAAGTAGGTGCCAGCAGCAAGCAGGCAGGTGGGAGGTCCAGGCGGGGGTGGCACTGGATAGGCTCTTCATGGTGTTTCCTTAGCCAGGGCTTTAGGCACAGAGAGGCGAGGGGCTGGTGTAGGCACGCAGCAGGCCCAACCGCCAGGCCTGCAGGCATAGTCAGCCGAGCCTGCGCTGGGTGGGGTGAAGGCCTGGGCCCTGTAAGGAAAGGAATGTTGGTTACTCCCATTTTAGAGGGAGAAGACTGAGGCCCAGGCAACATCCTGTAGGTAGCTGGGGGCAGAGGCAGCACTCACATTTAGGACCATTCTCGAAGGTTCATGCTGCCACGCCCTGCCTAGGGCCTTGGTTGGGGAAGTGGTAACTGAGCTGGGCCTGGTTGTGCAGGGTGGGCTGCTTGCCTGCCTTCCCCGCTTGCTGGGCCTCCCTCTTGTCCACTGTCCACCTCTGCCTGGCTGACTGTCCATTCTGTCTTTGCTGACCCCTCCTTCTGCTCCGTGCCTTCTGCCTCTGTGTCCCCAGTGCCCAGCACAGAGCCCAGCATAGAAGGGGCACAAGCGAAGTTTTGCTGAGCAGTGGGGAGCCCTGGGGAAGAGTGGCCTGCCCAGGTCGTTTGGGGCAGGGATAGGCCTAGGCCAGGAGGGAGGAGGGAGGAGGGGCAGTGGGGTCAGAGGCCAGCCTTGCCAGCTCTAGGGGAGCCACTCCCTGGTTCCTCCTACTAGGCCCATTTGTCAATCTTGCTGGAAACCTGTGTGTGTAGGGGCAGGGGCAAGGAGGGAGACAGACAGAGAACAAGAGAAAGGGGGAGACAGGAAAAAGAAAGACAACTCCCAACATCAAAAACCCAAGAAAACACATTGGCAGCTTCCACTTCGAATCCTAAGAAAGGAAAGCCAGCCCCCTGGTGGCCACTGAGTCTCCACCGCCTGGATACAGGCCTGTCTTCCCCGCTCCAGAGGAGCCGACCCAGGGGCCTTGGTTGTCTTTCGTTTTTTTGAAGAACACAGTTTCATTGTGGTAAAATATACAAAACATAATGCTTCTCATTTTAACCATGTGGAAACACACAATTCAGTGGCATTCATTATGATCACAGTGCCATGCGCCATCACCACTATCTATCCCCAGAACCTTCTCATCATTCCCGCAGGAGCTCTATACCCATTAAACACTGACTCCTTCCTTACCCCGACCATTGTTGGCACTTTTGAAAAGAGTTGCTTTTTTTTTTTTTTTT